CTCACAGCCTCACCTGTCACACCTCACCTGTCACATCTCTCACAGCCTCACCTGTCACACCTCACCTGTCACATCTCTCACAGCCTCACCTGTTACACCTCACCTGTCACATCTCTCACAGCCTCACCTGTGTGAAGCAGCAGGGTATGAAGCCGCAGTAGTAAGCGCAGTAGAGCGAGTTGAAGAGGATCTCCTTCATGCAGCGGTTGAAGTGCGACTTGAGTTGATCGACCTCGTCGCGAATGCTCTCAGGCGAGAGCGAGCAGCAGTGCTGAGGGTGTCCCGTCTTCCCTGCAGAGCACGAAGCACAGACACGCGCGTGAATGTCCGCACACACATACATGTACGTACGCACATACATGTACGTACACACACGCATATATGTCACACTCATGCACGCACGCACACGCATACACACACACACACACACACACACACACACACACACGTACGTAAGCACACACATACATGTACGTACGCTCACACATGTACGTACGCTCACACTCATGCACGCACGCACACGCATACACACACACACACACACCCACACACACGTACGTAAGCACAGACATGCGCGTGAATGCACGCACACACATGTATGCACGCACACACATGTACGCATGCACTCACATACACACAGATGCACGCATGCACGCACGCACGCACGAACATATATGTCACACACATGCATGCACACATGCATCCATAGATGCACGCACACACGCACCCACGCACGCACCCACCCACTGATGGACATATGCATGCACCCATGCACCCATAGATGTACACACTAACATGCATTGTAACTAAATCACTATTACAAAACTAGGTGTGAGCCCCATTCCTCCGGAAATCCATATAACAACTAATGTGACAGGTACTGTTGCACACTACATTGACATGTTAACATTGACTAGGTGAACAGCCATGCGCATACCTTGATATATCTTTGGAGCACTGGACAAGCCAAAGTATACCATCCCATCTGCCTTGAACAGCATGACATAGATCATTGCCCTGCAGAAGAACAGTCACTCACACAATTGACTTCCTTTTCAAAATTCAGTCTAATACATCCACACGTGACAGACAGAGGCAAGAGAGAGGGTAGGCTAGAGAGAGAGAGCGGGGGGAGAGAGAGTGAGAGAGAGAGAGAGAGAGAGAGAGAGAGAGAGAGAGAGAG